CTTCTTCAGAAATGGCCCATTTCTGAAGAAGGGTCTAGGCCCGAAACGTCAGCCTTCCTGCTCCTCTGATGCTGCTTGGCCTGCTGTGTTCATCCAGCTCTGCACCTTGTTATCTCAGATTCTCCAGCATCTGCAGTTCCTACTATCTCTTAAATCCTAGTGTTCCATGTCTGTTTTCTCCATCTGACTTGAAAATTAAATTTTAACATTTCATCAATTGGCAGCACAAGCCGCCTTTTATGTAATGCAAGTCATATGCTTTCTTCAAAATTATGTCTTTAGGTCACAGTTCAAAATGACTTCCTGATCTTGTAAAAAAAAATTACCTCCATAGAACTGAAACTGCACATCAATTTTCCCTTGACTTCAAAATCCAAATTTCTAAACTATAATAAAAATTACAAACATTAATCACACTACGATTGGCTGAGAAATACTCAATCTTTCACTGCAAATTGTTGCTGTCTTCTTTCTCATGGGTTGTGGGTTAGATATGGACTAGTGGGATTTAAATGAGACCTGGGACTTAAAATGCCATAGCATTAAAACTTAGATCAGTCAGTGTGTTTCAAACTCATTCCACCTGAAATCCAGTTGACACCATGTTTTCTGCTGAAGTGAGAGAAAGGACAGACTTCTTTGGGTACTTACTAGTTTCTGCTGTTTCGTATTCACTGTCTCGTAGCAGCTCAAACAGGTCAACATCTAGCCTTGCCTTTTCAGATTGTTCCACCATACGGTTGATGTGGTTTCTTGCAAGACTAATGGCAAGTCTTTCGCCTCTGCTGCACTCCATTGGATCATCTAGAATTGCAGCTGGAAAACACAAATTCAATAACTGACGTTAATGACTTCTTTTTATCTAAACATTGGAGAGTAGCTAAAGGTTTATTTGCTAATTATTCTTTTAGATTATATAGTTTGAGAGGCCCATACTTTCTCAGTTCAGTTTCTTCTTGCATTGATTTAATTGCTATCTGAATTGCTTTGAATTAAATATTCAAGGCAGGAAAATAATGGAGTGGTTCAGGAAATGGCAGGAAGGGGCTATCCCTTTTGAAGCAGACTAGAAACAGAAAAATCATAGACCCTGGTGATTCTCCAGTTACTGGGCCCCTTAACTCTCCCCAGACAATCCTGCATACTATTGTTCCCTTATTCATGATTTACTAATTATTTCACCAAACAATCACAGGGATCCTAGTAAAGTGATAATGCGCATTACAATTACAAATGTCATCCAATATAAATGCAGCATGGTCCGTTAATACACAGTGGAGCAACAACAGAGCACACACAGAATGCAAAATTAGTTTATGTCCATCCTATAGTGATTCCAGTTTGATTAATAGTCATAATGCAAAGTATGCATTTTACTTTAACAGAATAGTACAATATTGTTGATCTATTAGAAAAATAAACCATTAGTTACTTATAAAACTTTGCAAATGATAACACTGATCTTAGTGCATGCCTCAATAATGTCTGCACATTGTACCATATGCACACTGAAATAAGAGGACAGTATCCCGTCACTGAGTGACCCTATATTCACACGTAAAAGGTCCTTGACACTGATCCAGCACCCTCAGAGCCAGCTCTCAGAGTGTCAAGATGTCTGACACTCCTGTTTTTATCTGTCAGCCCACGCTTTCTGATTGGACCAGATTACCAGATTGATGCACAGAGAGATCTGGGTGTTCAGGTCTATTGTACCCTGAAGGTGGCAATGCAGGTCAATAGAGTGGTCAAGAAGGCATACGGCATGCTTTCATTCATCGGACGGGCTATTGAGTACGAGAGTTGGCAGGTCATGTTACAGTTATATAGGACTTTGGTTCGACCACATTTGGAATACTGCGTACAGTTCTGGTCGCCACATTAACGAAAGGATGTGGATGCTTTGGAGAGGGTGCAGAGGAGGTTCACTGGGATATTGCCTGGTATGGAGGGCACTAGCTATGAAGAGAGGTTGTGTAGATTAGGATTGTTTACATTAGAAAGACGGAGGTTGAGGGGGGACCTGATTGAGGTGTACAAAATCATGAGAGATATAGACAGGGTGGATAGCAAGAAGCTTTTTCCCAGAGTCGGGGACTCAATTACTAGGGGTCACGATTTCAAGGTGAGAGGGGAAAAGTTTAAGGGAGATATGCGTGGAAAGTTCTTTACGCAGAGGGTGGTGGGTGCCCAGAACGCATTGCCTGCGGAGGTGGTAGAGGCGGGCACGATAGCGTTATTTAAGATGTATCTAGACAAATACATGAATGGGCAGGGAGCAGAGGGATACAGATTCTTGGAAAATAGGCGACAGGTTTAGATAGAGGATCTGGATCGGCGCAGGCTTGGAGGGCCGAAGGGCCTCTTCCTGTGCTGCATTTTTTTTGTTCTTTTTGTTAACAGCCCCAATCAGGGAACTCATATTCTATGAGGTGCACCTGGCTGACATCATTACAACCATTACATTCACAGTAACTGTAAATTCATATCTGGGGAGCAATTCAATATTCTTCAATATTACAACCCAGATTGCAAGAAAAGCTTTCAGATTTTTTACTTCATATATTTCAACTACGTGTTTTATGTAGAAAGACCGACTACTTCTCTGCTGATGTTCACATTGTTTCATTATCATTCATTACCTCATTGAATGGTGCAGCAAATTGGATGGGCTAAATGATTTACTTCTGCTTTTAAGGCCTATTATTGGAAAGATATAGAACAGAGAGGTTGTAGGGAGGGAAGGCGAGGTGAGAGGAAGGTGCCATTCACTTGCTGCTGCCTAAGCACACCCCCCCACAAACCACTCCCAGACACTGACATGGCACTCACTCATCTTGCGCAAAACTACTTGGTATTACTATACGTGAAGTTCCAGGTTCCTGATAGTATCATGTGGTACTGCCATGAGATAACAGCTGGGTGCAGCCTGATATGAGGCTGAATGGTAACTCTCTTAAGCATGCTCTGGCCTTGTTGTCAGCAGCTAACTCCCTCCTGTTCTTTAATTTTCCTTTTGTTATCCATGGCCTCCAAGAGATTTCATCACAAATTGTTCAGCGCTGCTGAAAGATCCTGCACAATGGCTAATGGGAATGGCAAAATATGTGTTCCAGCTCTTCCAATCACAGCTTCCCTCTCTTCTGCCTTGGCCATTCCGTCAATTATAGATTCTGTCTCTGGAAGAATATAAGAGCAGAAGGGTGGGAGTCTGTAAATGCAGGAGCTGAAACTATGATGAACTTGAGCACTGAATGTTCAGTGTTGATTTGTCTCATTGATTTCCCAAATAGGTTATATTCAACAGTTCTTAGCAATTTCAAGGGAAGATGATATGAGATCTTCAAAGTGAGGCCCCAGCAGTACGCTCACATTCACATGTAGTCATCCATTGTAACTTTTTCATTTCTTTCTCACAAATAAAATGAAACACATTGCTGGATGTCCTCTACAGACCAATTAACATGGGGGAGTGGGAAAAAGACAGCACTATTTCAATGGAATGCCAACTCTGAAAGCAATAACCAAAAACTGAAAAATCAAAGAACTTGCACATATTCAATGAGGTTTGAACAGAACCTATGATTGGATGAACGGTTCTGTCTTTATTGTGTCTGCTTCTCTTCCAATCACTGCCCTGCTGTCAGTTTTTGTACTCAGCAACGAACAGTTTAACTGACAATTATGATGATAATACTGGACACATCAAATTCCAGAATTAAACCAGGCTTGACAGGTCCTATGTCTAATTTTTGCAATGTTGCCATAGTGATTAGTTGCTAAAACATATTCACATAAATTTAACAACAGAATAGAAATTAATTACACAAAGTTTCAATGTGTTTCCTAATACCATTCATTACAGAAACTCAATCCCAGACAAATTTCAGAACTATGGTTACTTAAAAAAAATTAAAAACTTTTACTTAATTGGCATTATTATTTTGTTTTAACCTGTGGAGACAAATTTACAATTTTATTCTGGCATAAAACTCTCAATCTGATGGCATAACTTTATCCAGTTGTAACAGCTTTCACAATTTCTATACAAACTCTCCTCTGAGCTGACTTGATTCTCCTCCTTGAGCAAACTATTATACCTTTGGAACTGAACTCTGGATTTGGATTTGAACTTTGAAAATCTTTACAGAACTGACCCATAGTCACCTGTTTATATTTTGAAATTCTAATCCTAAACTATAGTATATATTATACATATTTACCATGCAACTAAAAAAAACCCAACCTTAGCTGACAGCAGAAAAGATTTTTGGGCAGTTTCATGGTTTTCTGGTAGGGTTTTCAAAAAAAAAAATCAGAAGGACAAAACTGCCTGAAGATACCAGCAGAATTGCAATTTACAAGAATTGTCTATGCAACTGTCAAATGCAATGTTTAAAAGCCTGTCCATGAAGTTTGTATTTCTGGCTGTTTCCTTGAACAATGATGAGAATCCCACTTCTAACTATGAGCCTGGGCGCCTGTGCCTCTTGGCTCCATGTTTTGAACCTTGCATACTCCTCTTACCCTGACCATGCTCTCAGTAGCCACATCAAAAGAAAGGTCAGCACGGTAGACAAGAAAGCAAAAACAGGAAGCACATTTTTACACAAAGGTAGTCTATTCCATGTTTAAAGATTCTTGACTAACAAGGGAGTCATCAGGAGATAGGCAGGAATGTGGAGTTGAGGCCACAATCAGATACGCCATGGTCACATTGAATGGCAGAGTAGGCTTGAGGGGCTGCATGGCCTAACTGCAGTTTCTATTTTGTTTTTTCATTTGTATGTCCAGCAAAGAATAGAAATGCAGCCAATCTTTACACACATTGAAATGTTACAAATAGACATCATTTAAAACAAACACAATTTTAGTCTCAGTTTACCAATGGAGTATTTGAATAAAATTCCAGTTAATGTCCGCCATGTGAATAAAATGAAACACAATTAATATACAATTAACAAGGAGTTAACATGTTAATTCTGTCCCATAATACGTTATAGATTCAGGGGATCAATTTGAATTTTCAATGAAGAAGTTGATTGATCTTTGTCCAGAAATGGTACCGAGGCTTTTGGAATTAGGATGAGTGAATATAATTCAGGTATGGATCTAGCATGGTCTGACGGAAGTGTGGAATAGTTTAAGTGGCTGAATGGTTTCATAGAAACAGAAATGGGAGCAAGAGTAGATCATTTGGCATTCGAGCCTGCTCTACATTCATTATGATCATGGCTGATCATCCAACTCAGTAGCCTGTTCCTGCTTTCCTCCATATCTTTTGATCCCTTTTGTCCTATATGTAGTCAACAATGCTTTGGCCTCAACTGCTTTCTGCAGCAGTGAATTCCTCAGGCTCAGCACTCTCTAGTGAAGAAATTTCTCCTCATCTTAGTCCTAAATGGTTTACCTCATATCCTTAAGACTGTGATTCCTGACTCTGGACTCACCTGCCATCGGGCACATCCTTCCTGCATCTATCCTGTCTAGTCCTGTTAGAATTTTCCAGATTTATATGAGATTCCCCTCATGCCTCTGAACTGCAACACATATAATCACAACGGATTCAACCTCTCCACATATGTTAATCCTGCCTTTACAGGAATCAGTCTAGTAAACTTTTGCTGCACTTCCTCTATAGCAAGAACATCCTTCTCAGATAAGGAAACTAAAATTGCACACAATATGCTAGAGGTGGTCTCACCAGGGCCCTGTGTACTTGCAACAGGCCATTCCTGCTCTTGTATGCAAATCATCTCGCTATGAATGCCAACATACTATCAGCCTTCTTGGCTGCCTGGTGCACTTCATGCTTAGCTTCAGCTTATACTGGCACGAAGACACCCATATCTTATCGCATCTTCCCCTTTCCCAATCTATTGCCATTTAATAATAAACCACCTTCCTGTATTTCCTACCAAAATGGATAAGCTTACACTTATCCACTTTATATTGCATTTGTCCACTCAGTCGACTTGTCCAAATCACACAGATGCATGCTCCTCACAGCTCACCCTTCCACCCAGATTTGTGTCATCTGCAAATTTAGAAATGTTACATTTAATTCCCTCATCTAAATTATAGGTAATATTGAGAATAGCTGGGGTCCTAGCACTGATCCCTGCAGTACCCACCAGTATCTGCCTGCCATTCAGAAAAAGACTCCTCCTGTTCCTGCCTGCAGATGTTTCAAATGTCAACAAAATATTGAGGAAATTATAAGTCTTATTCTAGTCACCAGGTCTTTGGGCAATATTCCTGTCTGCATAGCTCTCAGGATTAGAGGAGCTTGCGTTCCTTTCTCTCATTCCAAGGACCAGTCTTAGATCAACAAACTTCTGACTTGCCAGGCACTGCATTTGACACAACCGTTAATATTTCACACCATTATAATCATATTAGCTTCTATTCCACATCTTAGTAAGGCATTTGTTCACAAACATGTCTTCAAAAACCTGCACATCAAAAGATTGATTGACTTCATTCAGGGAGGTGACTTTCATTTTGATGAAGAGTCGCTGGATTCAAAATGTTAACTCTGCTTTCTCTTCACAGATGCTGCCAGACCGGCTGAGTTTCTCCAGCAATTTCTGTTTGTGTTTCAGCTTTCCAATACCCGGAGTTCTTTGTTTTATTTTAAATAACTTCTGTTGCTAGCTCAGGAGACTCAATGTCAGTGGATGTAGGGTAAGGATTTTTCCTTCCTCTCTGATGCTTCAGAGAAACCTCAGGGATGGAAAACAGGGGTCAAACTGGATGGTGAGAGAAAGCTAGGAGCTGAACAGAAAAAAAAAAGTCAAGTTATAGAACTGAGGTAGCATGAGAAAGAAGAAGGAAGAGCATAAATGGGTAAGGGAAAAGGGGGTGAATGTTATGGAGAAAACAAATGGAGGACTGGGTGGTATTCCTCTAAAGCTAATGAAGAGAGCTCAATCTTCTTCTTCTCAAAGTATCATGGCCCGAGTGCCGAAACCATTACTTACAAAGTGCAAGCTGCGTTACACTATTCTGGAGCTTTTCCGCAAATTTGTAATCTGCTCCTGTTGGGAAATCAGTTGAACGGTTTTAAATGAGGCCCAGGAATAAAAGCAGCCTTGGTATCATTTCTGAAGAAGCTGATGAATTTTCATAATTCCTCACTAGTTCTCACCTCCATTCTGGCTAGAGTAAAGACTGGGGTTCTGGTTCCTGAATGGCTTTTAGCAGCTATTAAATACATCAACAATTATCTAACACCAGTAAATTGTGGAACATTGAAGTATCTTCCATTAAACACAATTCTAAAAAAATGTGGGACAATTCATATTTCCTACCACAAAGCTCCAAATCAAGTCTAGAAATAGGGACATTGAATATACCTACCTATCCGAAGTGAATGTGGTAATTCAGAACTTTTCCTTAAAGACAACAACACCAGCAATACCAAGAAAAGCAGCATTTTCCGTTTTTCTTCATGGAGATTTTTATTTGTTCTGCCAACTCCAGCCACCTAGTACAGAGGAAGAAATTAAGCTTTAAAAAACATTTTCCAATTTTCTTCCTGTATCACCTTCTCCGGGAGATGAAGAGTTGTACTGGAATAAAAACAGAAAATGCTGGAGAAAGTCAGCAGGTCTGACAGTATCTGTGGACAGAGAAACTGAGTTAATGTTTTGACTGCAGTCTGACTGCTCTTCAGAACTGAAGGCTGGAAAATGTTGGATTTTATGAGGTAGATAAAGGGAAGAGAATGGATGGAATAGATTGAAAGGGTGCTCCCAGACAAAAGGCAACGGGTACTGCCACATGGCTTCAGGAGAATTGGCAGCTACTGGGCTATCACAACAAAACAAAGTAAGTGGCAATTTATGTATTTGACTCACTAAGCATTGCAAAATTGAACAAGTTATTCACCTCAACAGACTGAATAACATACCAAGAACTCACCAGCAAATGAAAGCACTCTTTCACTAAGCCAAAAGGAAGTTTCATAAAGTAACATTCATTAATTTCTCTCTACCTCTCTTCCACTGTGATGTAAGGTGTGTGATTTATATAGGTTTATCATTTATTTAAGAGTTTGTATTCCAAAGTAGTGGTATGAAAGTTTTGGTTTCTGTGTATTGGAAGGTTTAATGATTAACTTGTCAGTATTTCTGGAGCCATTTTTTAAAACCGGTAATGAAAGATCATTCCTAGGGTCCTAAAGGAAATTCGTTTGCATTTAGAATGTTTTCCAAGCAGTCGTGGTATACAGTGAGGAGCATTAGCTTGCTTTCAGTTAGAAAGATCAGGATTTTTTGTTTTGATTTACAGGAATGCTCATAGTTTGGAAATCTTTTAGTTTTAGCTCACCGATATCCTAGTTGAAAAAGTTGGATGAAACAGATTTTCCTAGAGAATGAGTTAGTTCAGAACTGTTAGGAAACAGGCTTCCTCGGTTTAAGGGTTTTAGTTTGAAAGTTTCAGAGCAGAAGCATTTGATTAGAACCCTGAAGGGGTTATTCAAAGCTGAGAAAGTTTATGTTCATTGTGTGAATATACAAAAGACTATCAAATTCTCAAGACTGGAATTGAAAACAATAGGAAGTCAAACCAATAGAAGTGATGGAGAAGGGAATTCTGTCTGGTGTTTGCGTACAGTAATATATGCTGATGGGATAGATGAAATATTGTGTTTTTATTGTGGGTTTTGAAATCTTTCAAACTGTTTTATATCCAAATAGCTTTGTTAGTTCTATTTTAACTTTTCTTTTGTGCAATAAACTTCCGTGTTATTGTAAAAGTGAAGATCTTCAGGACCATACACTTGTGTTTCAGTGAAAGAACATCTTGTTAGATTTAAAAATTTATCTGTCAAGTCAGATTTCAGCCTGGGATCTGACTTGTCCAGTCATGACATCATCTGGGATCGTAACCCATCAGCTATTGCAACATAATTCTAGCTGCAACGACCCTTTGGTTTCCCACATTAATACCAATTGTTTCAATTTGGAAAGGACTGCATCTTTCTGTGTCTGAAGTCTGATATTGTTAGCTGTAACTGGTAGTGTTTCCAGAAAATTTAATGTCATGACTGACTCTTCCATTGGGGGTACCATGGTGGTATATCTGCTAATGGAAGGTGGCCAATGCGTCTGCATTTTCTATTTGGCCTCCTGGACAATGGTCTAGCTGGTAATTATAAGCACTTAATATTAGAGCCCACCTCTGAACGTGGCCCAAAGCTATGGGTGGCACTGACTTGTCCTCTTTAAGCAGATCAAGAAGGGTCCATGATTATCACAAATTTTTGCCCATAAAGGTATTGGTGGAACTTTTTGACCCCAAATAGCCAATCCTTCTTTTTCTGTTTGAGTATATTTACACTCTTCATATCTGAAGTCCTGGATGCATAAGCTAGTGTGCATTCCTCTTCAGTGGGCCACCTATGAGCTAACACCTTTGTGATGCTGTACAGTGAGGCATCACATGTCTATACCAGATCTCGTTTGGGACCATAGAATGCCACCATATTAGAAGATGCCAGTAGTTTATTTACTTCATTGAAAGATAGGGCCAGTCAAAGAGACCATTTCCAAAGCTGGCCCTTTTTTTAGGAGTTGAGTTAATGGTGCCAGGATGGATGCCAGATTATGTATGAACTTTCCATTATAATTTACCAGACCCAGAAATGACCTAACTCCTGGACAGACATGGGAGCTGGGACACCTTTGATCGTCCTCACTTTATCTTCCAAGGGATGTATCCCAGTCTTGCTGTCACCCAAGTAGGTTATTTCTTGGGTGTAGGCCTGCCTCAGAAAAACACCTTAGGACTATATCCAAGTTCAGTAAGTGTTCCTATTAGCTTTCCCTAGTATCAGGATGTCATCTAGATAAATAGCGATCAGAGGTGGACCTTGCAAAATGTTCTTCATTGTTTGCTGAAAGATTAAACAGGATGACAATATGCTGAATGGCAGTCTCGTATATCAGTACAAACACTTATGAGTGTTAATTGTAGCATGCTTGAGAATCCTGATCTAAATGTAATTGCAAATAAGCATGGCTCACGTCAAGCTTCGTGAACGACAAATATCCTGTCAGCTTTGCATACAAATCCTCTAGGCAAGGGACTGGGTATTTAACCAGTTGCAAAAAGCGATTTACTGCTTGTTTAAAATCTGCACAAAGGCGGAAGAACCCATTGGCCTCAAATTTGGTAAGACAGGTGCAGCCCATTCTGTGAATGGACTGATTTGATGATTCCTTCACTTTCCAGCTTTCTGATTTCTGCCTCTACTTTTGCCCGTAAGGCAAATGGCACTGGGTGGGCTTGCAGAATTGTGGAATTGCTTCCGGTCAACATGCATCAATGGTAAAAGGGGGAAAATTCAAAGGAGATGTGAGGGGAAAGTTTGTTTCACAGACAGTGATAGGTGCTTGGAGCTCACTGCCAGGGGTAGTGGTGGAGGCATATACAATAGGGGCATTTAAGGGGTTTTTAGGTAAGCTCATAAATAAGTAAGGAATGGAGGGATATGGACCATGGACAGGCAGAAGAGATTAATTTAATTTGGTATCATGTTCGGCAAAACATTGTGGGCCAAAGGGCTGTTCCTGTGCTGTGCTGTGCTGTTCTACGTTCTGTGCCAAATTGCTTTGGCTCCTTTGATAGTCCCCGGACCTTCGGGGAAAACATCCAGGTATTTAATTAGGAGTTTATTCAGGCAGCTGTTTTATAATTGAAAAATGTTCACCCAATCTAGGTGAATCTCTTACAACCAATCTTGCCCCATCAAGCTTAGGCCCGAGCCTTCTACTACAATAACTGATAACTGAACCAGTTGCCTGTCATAAGAGACCAGAAGAGATTGTACCCTTAATCGACAAAGGTTCCCCAGTATAGATTCTCAGACTAGCTGAAGTCTTGTGCAAATCTAAGGGCTGGAGCCGAGAGCAAGTTTTATTAAAAACTGGTTTTGTGATTGCTGATACATTCGCACTGGTATCAACCTCCATTTTAACTGGATGACTTTTTGACCAGACATTTATCTTGATTGGTTCTGATGTTGATGTTGCTAAGAAATTTGACCGTTTCAAACCAGATGCAGGTGGAGTTTCCAGGGTATGAATTCTCCTGGATACTGGCCTACGAGTTAACTTACTCCATTTAGGCTAAGAGGACTCTGTTGCCGTCCTGAATCCACAAATCAGCGACAACTTCAATGTTTTACTGGGCAGGATCCTGAAGAAAATTGTAACTGTTTGGTCATGACTTGGCTTTGCTTTGGGGTTTTACTGTGGGATATTTCCTGAGTGAGAGTATGCAGTTGCCTGCACTCGAGTGCTGCTTCCCAAGCTCAGTCGCACTGGCGAGGGTGCCTACTTCCAGCAGAATACCTTATAACTCACATGCTCCACTTGTTGTATTTTCTGATGATGAAGCCAATTGTAGCATCTGTTTGAAGTCCAGTTGAGCTTCAGCCAGTTGATGTTTTTGCATAGTCAGGTCATTAATCCTACAGACCAAATGGTCTCTAAGCATCTCATTAAGGGTTAAACCAAAGTCACAAGCTTCTGCCAATCATCTTAACACTATCAAAAACCCTGATATGGATGGGGATATTTTTGGAGCCTCCTCCTCCAGTAACTTGATTAATTGACCACCACCGTTCATGACTGGATATGGCAGGACTGCAGAGCTTAGATCAAATTGTTGACTGTGGGATCACTTAGCTCTATCGCTTGCTGCTTATGCTGTCTGGCATGCAAGTAATGCTGTTTGGTAGTTTCACCAGGTTGACACCTCATTTTTATGTATGTTTGGTGTTGCTCTTGGCATGCCCTGTTACACTCTCCATTGAACCAGGGTTGATCCCTGGCTTGGTGGTAGTACTTGTGCGGGGGATATGCCAGGCTGAGGGTTTACAGATTGTGCTGGAGTACAATTCTGCTGATGCTGATGCCCCACAGTGCCTTGTGGATGCCCAATCTTGAGTTGCTAGATCTGTTTGAAGTCTGTCCCATTTTGCATAGTGATAGTGCCATACAGGAGGGTATTCTCAATATGAAGGTGTGACTGCGCCTCCACAAGGACTGTGCGGTGGTCACTCTTACTGATACTGTCATGGGCAGATTCATCTGCAGCAAGCAGATTGCTGAGAATGAGGTCAATATGTTTCTCCTTCTTGTTGGTTCCCTCACCATTTGCCACAAACCTCATCCAGTAGCTAATGTCCTTTAGGACCTGACAAGCTTGATCAGTAGTGTTGCAGTGAAGCATCTCTTGGTGGATGAATTTAGGGAGAGAGGTATCAGATTAAAAAGCAGAACCTCAAAGGTTGAGAGTGTAGAGGTGTATAAAATAGTGGATGATGTTGCAATATTGATCAATGTGTTAATTACTGCAGCAAGAAGGGATAATATCTTAGAAGGCCATATGGTCAGAACCTAAAAACACAAAGGGAACAATCACTTTGCTAGGAGTGTGGTATGAACCCCAGTCAGGGAGAGATAGAAGGACAGA